GACTCCAAAGTTTCAAGCTTGGAGAACTGATGCCTTAGCGAAGACTAGGGGTCTTGGATTTTCAAAGTCAAGCACGTGTTTTGTACCTGTTATCACTGAGGTACCATGGGACACTTTAAGAACTGATCACTGACTCAAGCAATGGGTCCCACCCAGCGAATCCGATATCCCAGCAACATGCCACAGCCGGTGTTCCTGGTTTGAGAAAAAAGTAATCTGTAATCTTCAATGAAAACAATGCTTGTTTGGGGCCTCGGGTTGGTGGTGATAATTTTATAGCTCAAACTCTAAAGTAACTTTATAGTTCTTGAGTTAAGACGACGCTACTCTGACCTTTAAATCTATCTAACTCTCGACTGTGGTCAATAAGTGGAGTATACTGACATCAGAAGTATCACATCCAGAATGTCAGCACTCCTTGAAGAGAGCAATCAATCATTTTCTGGATGCAACATAAAACTGTAACAGCTTCATACAGAAAAGGTCAACATCTGGTCGGTGGTCACAAATAAGTGGTCACAACTTACATCCTGACAGCCTGTTCTTTTTTGTTTATAAACCATGTTCTTATTAAAAAATAAAAATTAGTATTAGGTTCTCTACCCTTTATTTTAAAACCAGCCACTTCTCATCTGCATTTTCTAATGTATTGGGTTGTCGGAAAAGTCATGAGGCATTTTTGCAACGAAAAACGTAGAAAAAATACATCATGACTTTTCCGACAACCCAATAAGTAGGACACATCAATAAAGAAAACAAACAAATAAACAAAAAAACCACTCCATACTTCTTTTTATCATTTTACAAAGTGCAAAAGTACCCGGGATAGAAATGAGGGCATTATATTTGGGAATAATTATGATCAAAGTCTTCCTCCCATTTTGAAATAAAACATCTTCTGTCTTTGTCTTTCTGTGTCTCTATCATATCTACACATAATCACCCTAACCACTACACTCCACCCTCCTCATCACCACTACCACTATCACCCAAGGGGTCTGGACAGACCTACAGACATGGATTACTGAAAAAGGGTGCCTTTGTTATATTTCTGTGGATTTTCAGTTTGTCGTGAATACTCATGTTACCTTTAGGCCAAAAGGCTCAACCCATCAAATGCACTATTGCTGCCATTGCAATCAATAGTGTCAATCTGTCTAGTGCTTCAGAGCAGCAAAAACATGAGCTGACTGGGTCCCTCTTTATAGTACAATGAACTAAAATAAGGGCAAGAAGGTTGTTTGGCCGGGAGGTGCTAAAACGATCTTCTACCTGGCTCTGGGCCTTGTAAAGACAAGGAACGTGTCAGCTGTTTTCCCTCCGCCCTGAGCATCACCCCTGGCATAGGAGGTGGCTCAAGTCCATCCATCTGTGGGTGTGTCTGTACACACTGGTTGGTAATAAGTAAACCTCTTAATGACACCCTAAAGGAGATATACAACAGCCTCTCCCCTTCCAGCAAACTTGCGACTGCAGTTAGATGGTGTATGACTTTTCCTCTTTAGCCTGGATTTGTTTATTTGAAAATGTCAGCAGGGGTGGGAGGAGGGGTTGGTGTCACCTGCTCTGTGTTCTGCGTCTTCCCCTCCCCTCTCAGAACCCTGGAGTTATATGACCCTTTTGCTCTCCCCGTAAGTATTTTTTTTTTTTTGCTTTTAACAAAGATTCATCTCTTACAAGCCCATGTTTTTTGCACAAATCACAGACTGTTCACTTTCTCATCCACACATCCGCAGTCCCTATGAACCTCGCTGGTAATGCGGTATCACCAGAGGGCATCATCACCTTTATGAACTACTGCAACTTCAATAACGCACAGGGCCTGCCTAGACTCTGCCAGTCTCGTCTGCAGCTCTAACTACATATGGGGCTGCCAGACCGCATCTTATTACAGAACCAGATTTCACTTAAATCAGTCTAAACTACTCTGCAGAGTTTATTTTTTTTTCAAGCTTTTGTTCTGTTTCCTTTTGACTCTGCGAAAAAGCAATAGATACAAAGAAATACACTTCCTCTGAAGTTCATATGGAGAAAAGTGCTGGAATCGATACACGTTTATGAGAGTAATCACTCCTGGCAGCACAAAGTGTGTTTTGCCACCCATTGCCCTTTTGCCTACGAGAAGATAATGTTGGCGAAATGATGCTAGGTCCTCAGCCACAGAACCTGGAGTGGCAGGAAGGAAGCCCTCGGGAGGAGGAAGTGACTGGAATGTACCCGCTCGGTCAGAATAGCCTCAGGTGCCTGTTGCTGGGGTCCATTCAGGCATCCCAGGCAAGACAGCTGTAGAATAAGAAAATCATAATCTAACTAAATAGATACAGTGATTTGTTTGTTTGTTAATTTATTTTATTTATTTTTTTTTTTAAAGATTTTTATTGGGGAATTGTGGGAAGGGAAACAGACACGTTGCTGTCCTTTTGTTCTTCTGTTTAGTTGTGGAGGACGTTGCTTCACTGGCCCAAATTGGAACCATTATTGCGCTCTTATACGGTAGCCCATGGCAACCCACTGCCACAGGGGCTGCAGCCCATGCCGTCGCCAGCAACTCACGGGCAGCCCAGCTCCAGGCTGAGCTGTTGTTCAGCATCTTAGCTGTAGAGGTTAGTGTCAACGGCCCTCATATGTGGGATCCGAACCGGGGCCCTCTGGCGTCCCAAGCCAGTTCTTAACCAATGCGCCGCTCGGCTGGCCCTGTTTATTTATTAAATGACGTGTACTTCACTTGTGACTTAGGGTGGTTACCTTAAAGTGGTAAAGTGGCAAGACAGGGACAGATAATGGGCTGACAGAAAGGCTGATGTGTCTAGCATGTCTAATGGGTTGGCCCAGGGCTCCTCAGAGCTCCCTAATCTTGCAGCGGATTGCATCTAGAATTGGCCATAAAGATCAACCTATATGTGGGGCTAAAGGTCCTGAACATAAGAAGGAAAACTAATCGCTCAGATATAAATGTACAAGTGGTAAATTCTCTCTTTCTGTGGTTTCTTTCCATCAAACTCTGCCAATACAGGGCCTATACCCAAATCCCCCCTTGGGGAGTTAAACTAGAAATAAGATTAAATCAGAAACAAAAAAAATTAAAAGTTAAACCAGAACAAAATTTTAAAAATTAAAGTAAAAAAATTAAAAATTAAACCGGAAACAAGGAAGACACTAGAACTGACATGCCTAATCCGAAACTGGGAGTTAAGATCATGGGATTTATTTTTTTCTCTTCTCTGCAAAGGAGGTCTCATGATTTCAACCAGGGAAATGAGCAATGGATCCAATATGTCAGTACCTTCCAATGAAGTGCCGCTCCACACCACTGAATCTCATGATCACTTCTTGTCTGAAGCCACCCAGCTGTGCCTTATAGTATAGTATTTAACCTGAATGGAGTGCTGGAAGAATTTACAAATCATGTTTTTATTGTTCTTATTTACCTAGGACCCTCACCCGGTGATCAGAATTTTTAAGTATATACCTTAGGCCTGGAGGTATGTGACAGGAAGAATGGTAGCTTGCTCTAAGCTCATTTTATGGAGTTAAGAGAAATTAGAACCCAGCCAGAGTCCGGCAGTAGGCAGTTGGTTGTTGTCAGCTAGAATTGGCTGTAAATAGACAGCCCTGAGGGGATAAAATCCATCTATTTCGAACCCTCCTCCCTAATTGTCTAGTTCCCTGACATTATTTTATCTCAACAGATTACTATATATATGCAACTCTGTCCCCCTCTGGCTTCCTTCTTTCCCATGTCCCCTGTTCTACAAAATAAACTAACTCCCAGTAGAATCAGAGGGATAAAGGGGTGTCTTTGGCTCTGCATACATTACTGGGATCAAAACTAAATACTAGGTGATAAACACCACCAGAGAGTACAGAAAGCTCTGGGAGAAAATTATCTTTAATGGAGTTGCTCTTAAAAGGATCTGCATGTGGCAACGCTAAATACCATGAAGTCTCAGTTATAGATCACAGACCTGAAATGTATGAATATTAAAGAAGAAAACAACAGTGGAGCAGCTACAATAAAAGTGAGTGGAGGAAGCTACTAAGAGAAAATCACATTTGTCAGACTTACTTTCTTTCAAATAGCTAGCTCTGGGCAAAACTGCAATATAAATACAACTGTTTCTTCTAGATACATTGTTTCACCCTTTCTCTCATCTTTCCAGGCTCCTGAATCATGCCATTTCTATCATGTTCAACCCAGAGAGAGAGGATCTGAAAATAATTATTTTGAGAGCGCATAAATGACACAGCCCCCTAACACTGTATTTGCATTTCAACTGGGACAAAAAGTTTGACTTAAGAAACAACTCTTCAATAGTGGAATTTCAGGCAAGAGTGGGAAAATAAAGACTAGGTGGGAATGCATGGACGTTTTGGGAAATGAAATCTTTAAATTATACCACATAAATGGTTTTCTTCATTCATGCAAGGTCTTTTCCGCAGGGCTGACTGCTACTCCAACTCGATTCTTTTGCTCTTCCATGAATGAGTAGTAGTGATGGTAGTGCGGTGCTTCGATCTTGGAAATATCAAACTTTTCAAGTGTGAACCTTGGAAAAGTCCAATTACTACTCATGCCTTTGATAATACTCTCTCCTTTGCTCCAGCAATGTGGAGATATCTTACAAACCATTCTTGTTGAACATGTACTTGCTGTGAGGACAGCACCCATTTACATAGCTGTACCTACAAGATGGGGCATGAATGAGGTCATGCCTCTGTATGTGTACATGTATGTATGTGTGTGTGCACACATGCATGTATATGGTTGCAAACATGTGCCTTGAAAATTTGTTAAAGGATAAATAGAGGTGCATAACTGAATTGCTACAAGGAAGTTAACAGTCTCCATAAAATGTAACATAGGTGATTAATCTAAACAAACCTCCACAATATCCAGAACATATCACTTGTTTTACTAGTTCCATCTTGTTCATGTTTGCGTCTATGATCATACTGTTATGTCATCAGAATAATAAAAGACATACATCTTCATTTCACAGAATTGATCACAAACCTAGGAGAAGAGGCAGTCTGTGTACCTGCTATATTGTCTAAACAAATCCATCGAGGGATCTTGAGTCATTTAATCATGGTGCTGTCATTTGGTTTGGGTAAGCATATTTTCCCTTCATTAGATTTAATATATAATCTCATTATAGAAATGTGACACTTTGCACTAATTCTCAACTCATAAATCAGCTTCTACTTCTATTCCTAAGGCCCAAGGAAAGAAAAAAAGGAAGCAACAAAATGTGCTAAAAATGCATAGCATAACACAATTTGAGCCATTCAGGTAACGCTACCTTGCCATTCCACTTCTTATTTTCATTGTTGATTTATCCCTACTGCCACCAGGACTATCATGCTGACTTCCATTTTTCTGTGCAATCAGACATTTTAAAATTATTTCACTCATGAATCTTTCCAAAAGGTCACTTCCTAACCTTTCCCCCATGTAATCATATCAGTTATTCTTTTTGCATAACATCATGCAACATCTGGGTATTTCTCAGACCACCAACATATCTACGTACAGAGAAACTACAACATGTCCTATACTTTGGTGTTAAATGGGGTGGAAAAGAAAAGACGATATATCCCTGACTTCAGTTTGGGGAAAGGATATCACAATTTTAATCCCAACTAAAGCGGTTTTCTAAATGTTAGTATAAATGTCCTGATATATCTATAATAAATACACATCGCTTACAAAATACCTTTTTACAGACATAGTATACTTCTACTTACAATTTAAAAAAATGTTTAAAAATGAATCGTATCTTATACAGACAAAATGAAGTGATTTCTCCACTTTATAATATTTGGACAATTAAAAAAAAATCATTGGTCTATTGAGGCCATATAATATGTTTCAGCTCCAAAGAGGAACAAAGTCAACCTAAGAAGATGTGAATTTTATTAAAGGTTAAAATGATATTAAAAAATATATATTTGAGAACTCACACATAATGATAAGATTATGTGTGTCACATGTATGTAGTCATTATGTCTTTGATGGTAACAAGTTACAGAGCATTTTTTTTTCAAACTTTTCTTGTATTGCTTCATGCTTTTCCAAGCTCATTTTAATTTTCATTTTACTCACGATGTTAAAATAGTGTGACTGGTTGGTCTAATAATTAAAGATGAAAAATCCCCCTCTCTTGGTTTCAAATTTCTAGATCTACTAATATTAAAGTGCTATAAAAATAATCACAATATCAGGCAAAATGCTGGAAATGTTCAAGAATTATAATTTATAACTGAACTTAGCCCTTCCAGTTTCTTAAAGACTATGAATCTTCACACTGCCCCCTTTTGTGTTTGGAGATTACTGTAAGTACATACTGTATCCAAGACTCTAATCTGTCCCAAGGTGCAAACAAACAAACAAATAAACACCAAAAAATCCCCAGCAATTTTAAACTTTCAGCCGGGTTTTTGTGTAGACAGAGAATGGGCATCAAAGATCAATTGGTTCTAATATATAGAGAGGGTGTCCCAGAAATGTATATAAGTAGACACTTTGGGTCAACGTTGCTGAAACAGTAAGTAGGTCACCTTAATCACAAGTGTCTGAATGCTGATGGTGACCATTTAGAGTACCTCTTGTAATTGCAGAAGTCAAACATGACTTGTATTAATCTTTTGTTATCAGTATATATCAAGTATTAAAATTTTAATACAGTTTTGCTTTCTTAAAATGTGTATACTTTTTTTGGCACCCTCTCTCTCTCCACCCCCCCCCCACAACACACACACACACACACACACACACACACACACACATTATCATGATAAAGTACTGACTGTGTTTCCATACTACTGTATCTGAAAGTAAATGCTTATTTGGGGAGAGAGAGAAAAAAAGAGAGAGGGATAGAGAGAGTGTTTCTGTTTCTGCCTGTTTGTTATATTATTAAAAAGCTGCTGGAAAATAGGAAGAATGAGAAGGCATATGTGTACTTTACTCTTTCATAGAGATTGACAAACTATAGCAACAAATTCCACTCTGAACTGTGATGCTAAAGCTTCTATATGTGGAGTCTAGAGTGAATTATTCAGACTTTGGGGAATGTACTGTTATTGATACTTCTGTTCCTGGGGTTGCAAAAGTAAGGGGAGGGAAATAGACTCCAGACTAAGTCCAAACCCTGTAGTGGTGGAGCTTTGGGGTGCAGCTCCCTCAAGAGGGTTAAGATTTGCATTATGGAAGTTCAAAGGTGACTGTCTGTGATCTGACTTAAGGATAGGGAGAAAGGAGAACAAGGAAAGATAGAAAGTCATGTATATTCAAGAGGGGAAATCCTGTAGAGTGTTTAACTCTTAATGCTTTTCCCTTAGATGATGAGGGAAACCATATTTAATGTACTGAATTCAATTTTTTGCTTTCTATGCTAGAATTCCCTTTTCATTAACCTTCAACTTCCCAGTAATAGCTGATAAACTTTATAGCCTTGTCTGGTTATACTGGGAAGAATAAAAGTTGGGGACAATGAAGTGAAGTATGTCCTGCTAAACACAGGACATCGAACTTGACTGTACTGCAGCAGTTTCAAGAGGAGTCCAGAAGCGAAGCAAACAGTGGTCTGTGCTGGAGAAGGGAGCAGTGACCAGCAGCTCCATGTCGGCGGAGGCAGATGGCTCAGGAGTAGATATGAGACAGGTTCTGTCTCTCCCAAATAAAGAGGAAGAAGGTGATTTGATGGAGGAGGTTGATGCGTGGATCACATAACTTGAAAACTGTCACATGTTTTGTTTTTTTTTTCTGCTGAACATAGAAAGGGTTAATATCAACAGTGCCCAAGTTGAGTGTCATTCCCATGCAAATTCAGATGGCATTCTACATAAATACATGAATAACATTGGGCCCAGCTTCTATAAACTATTCAAATTTAGGATATAAAGTTATAGCTAGCAAAATTGGTGAAATTTAGACAAAAGCCTACATATTATAGCTGTTTATTATAATTTGGCTGTTGGTACCTTTTCTTCTTTTGTTTATACCATGTTATTTGGATGGACTGCCCTCACAATAACTTATTTGTCTCTATTTTACTTCCCTCCTCAAAATTTCTAAAACACTCCCTGTCTATACCCCAAACTGTGACTTAGCATAAATTCTATCTCCTTTACTAAATTAGAAACAACTTCTTCTTTTTCTTCTTTTTTGGAAACTTACTGAAGGAATAAAATCTATCTCTGGGGACTCCTGATACCCAACTATGTTTATGATAAAATAGTTATCAAAATGTGACTATGAATAAATGCAGAAATAATCAATGTCATTCTAATAGAGCAGCTGAAGTACAAAAGGGTTTAGAGAACAGTTATAGTGTCCATTATTTCTATGCATGACTCCTTAGATACCTATTAAATACCCTAAAGAAATGGGCACTCGCCCAATATCACTAATTGAGAAGACAACGTGCATGAAATACTTGGTACCTAACCAGGAGATGTTCATCTCAATAAGAGATGATGATATCTTTGGCTAATATCCATGTGATAGTTAGCTACACTCACATAAATATGAAAAAAATTATGGAGAAATGATACCTGGAACATTTTTAGGGTCCATGTGAAACAACTAATAATCCAACAAACTGTAAAAAAAAAAAAGTACTCTTTGAAGCAGCCTGGAAGAAACTGTTGTAATATTATTGCTGTTTTGCTTATTAGGAAAAAAAAAATTGAATAGCTGAATTTCATGAGCAACTGTACTATATATGGCCACTAATTTCTATTCAAAGCCTTAGTACATCCAGTAGTTACATCTGTCTTCCTCTTTGGAAAGTAGAGTTTGTGCATCATTTTCACCACCTTCAATTCATAGGATTTTAGAGGTAGAAGAGACTTAGAATCCATCTGGCTCAATTCCGTCACTTTTGATCTGAGAAATCTGGGGGTAATGTAGTGACACAAGTTACTTGAAATCACACAAGTAACCTCTAATTTGTGGCTAGTGTATTAACTGAAGTTAGCCAGTCACATCATAGAAAGATATATTAAGCTCTGTAACCACCACCACCCCTCAAAAAAAAAGTTTGGAAATGGCAGAGCAGATGTGCAGAGAAATCCTTACTAGTACAGAACAACTAGAAATAATAAGTAACGTATGAAAAAAAACCCCAAATCTCTTTAAAAGCATGGCTAAGGTTGATGATAAAGTAAGATAAACAATTAGAGGCCAGGCATCTCAAGGAATTTTCTGGGTAAGTGAGCCTAGGAACAGGCATTTTCCATTGGTATGCCTTTCAGCTCCCAGGGTAGTGAGTCACACACACAGGACAGGGACAAAACCTGACATCCAAGTAAACTAGGAGGTCTTCTGAGATGCCTGCACAAGGCAGGTATCAACAGAGGGCAACAAATCACAGTATCTGCACTAGAAAAAAACACATTCCACAGAAAACTTTTCTTTTCTTAGAGTTGTTAATAAGTGTAACAGAAAAAGCAAAAGTCTCTCTTTAGTGTTCCTTACCCAAGGTCCACTTTCCAAAGAGGCCACAATAAGAAAAATCTCATGAAAAAACTTAAGTATCAGGTGAGTAGTCTCCTTAAGTACCTAATAACAAGCAAGTAACAAATACTTGCTAGATAAAGACATTCTAAGCATTAGCCACAAGGAATTCCTATAGATAAACTCTAACAAACATGATCTCATCACAAAAACAATATGGAAGGCAGTGTGGAGGCTCCTCAAGAAATTAAGAATAGAATTACCATATGACCCAGCAATCCCTCTCCTGGGTATCTATTCAAAAAATCTGAAAACATTTATCCGTAAAGATATATGTGCTCTGATGTTCATTGCAGCTTTATTTATGGCGGCCAAGACATGGAAACAACCAAAGTGTCCTTCGATAGATGATTGGATAAAGAAGATGTGGTATATATACACAATGGAATACTATTCTGCCATAAGAAAAGATGAAATTTTTAGTGCCATTTGTGACAATGTGGATGGATGTTGAGATTATTATGCTAAGTGAAGTAAGTCAGACAGAAAATGTTGAGAACATATGATTTCACTGATATGTGCTTATAAAACTGAAAGCAACAAAGGAACAAGACAAACAAAGAAACAAAAATTCATAGACACAGACAACAGTTTAGTGGTTACCAGAGGGTGAGGGGGAGTGCGGTGGTAGATGAGGGTAAACGGGATCAAGTATGTGGTGATGTAAGAAGAATTGACTCTGGGTGGTGAACACACAATGTGATATATAGATGATTTATTACAGAACTGTGCACTTGAAACATGTAACTTTGTCACACCAATAAACTTTAATAATAATAAAAAAATCTCTAAAGTACATGAAAAAACAGGTCCTATGAATGAATCTGTAGAAGCAAAAAAACGAAGTCTCAGAGTTGTAAGACTGATGATATATAATTAACACACACAGAATATAAAATAGTCTTGATATATTTGAATAAAATATATGAAGTATAATACATAAAAGTGAGTCTATTAAAATCAATCAAGAAACACTGAAATAGGAACAAACAGAACTTATAGAAATGAAAAGTATTCAAATTTAAAACTCAAGTGAATAAAATTTTACATAGTTGAAGAGAAACTTTGTAAACTGACACATTCATATCAAGAAATTACATGCAAAGTAGTATTGAGAGAGAGGAAAAAGGCATATATGAGCAAGTGGTTAGGAGGCATGGGAAAATGAGATGGTCTAACACTGGTCCATGTGTGGTCCACAGACTAACAGCCTTGGTGTGAACATAGTCTCAAGATCCAATGTAGACCTACCATGTGGTAGAGATTTGTGTAAATAAATAAATAAATAAATAAATAAATAAATAAATAAATAAATAAAAACCAGATGATTTTTTTTTTGGTACATTAAGTTTGAGAAGGATTGGTCTGATATATCTCTAATCTGAGTTCTAACAGAGAACATGTAAAATATTGGACTGGTAATATTAAAAATAGTTGAAAATTTATTAAATTAATAATGACACCAATCCTCAGACTCAAAAAGTTCAGTGGGTCTCAAACAGGCATAAAAAAAATCCTCAGTTATATGGAAAATGAAGAACACCAAAGACAAGAAAACAATCTTAAAAACATTCACTGAAGAAATTCAATTTAGAGTTATAGATCACAAGAATATAGTCTAGCCTAGAGAGAGATTAGTTAGTCCAGATAAAAGCAGATGAGAAGGCTAGAGAAAAGATTTATAGTCACTCAATATCTAATATGCTTAAATGTATACAGAGAAAATTTTCAGACCTGGTAAAAATTTTAGGGGTTGAATAGCCACATAGAAAACTAAGAAAATAAAATTTTAAAAAAAATCTAATAATTACTCTCCAAAGAAAACAAAATATTGTGTAATAAAAGGAATCATGCTATACCTTGCTCATATGTGAATAACTTTTACACAGTCATACAAATATAAATATCATATAATGACATAAAAAGTATAACTGCTGGGAAGAAGGGAGGCTGAAAACTTTGCATTTACATAATGAGGGACAAAAGGGAGGGAAAGAGAAATCCCTTTTTATGAGTAATACAGTAAGTAGAGTCTCAACTTGAGAAATCAAGACAGCAATTGAAACATACATGGAAGTACAAAACAAATTGCTAAAATGATTACCAGGAGTCAACTCTGAGGAGAAATGAATACTCGTAAGTGTCCCTTTTTTAGCAAGCTTTCTTAAGCTAGTTGACTAAACGCAAGCACGTTTAACTTTCATAAAATACTGTTTTACCTCACTAGCAAAATGTTGAAAGTTTGAAAATATAAAGTATTTCTGAGCATGTGGAGACATAAGACCAGTGAGAGTTTACTTTAAAATATAATTTGGCGTTGAATGGCGAAGCTGGACATGCAGAGACTTTCTTATCCAGCTTATGTCCTGAATGTACCCTAGAGAAACTCCCGCACATCTGCACAGGCAACATGTCAAGAGTGGGAATAACAGTATTATTTGCATCTATCCAAAACCTGGATACAATCTAAAGGTTCTTAGTTAGGAGAATGACTACAGGAACTGACATATTCATATAGAAAAACAGTATACAGCAGTGAGTGTAAATGAACTAAAATTAGACACAGCCATTTGGATGAATCTCACTCATATAAAATTTCATGAAATAAGACATAGAAGCATACAGTTTCACTTATACGAAATTCAAAACTAGACAAAACTAAGTAGCATTGTTTAGGGATATATTGCCTCTGTTAAAATAGGAAAACTACATAAAAATAAAGATTAGCCCAAATTTCAAAATAAAAGTGGTCATTTTGGGGAGAGAAAGGGCTTCAAGGAGGGGTGGGTCACTCAGCAGTGTTTTATTTTTGCAAACTGTTTAGTGAGTTTTCTTATTCTTATTTAAACAGAAACTATAAGTTACATATACTTTTCTAGTTCCCATTAAATTAAAGAATAAGCTGATTCTTGCCACGTATCAAGAATTTGACTTCTCAAACAGTCTACTCTCAGCCTCTTGACACCTAACTCCCAGCTCTGTTCTCAACGTGCTCACTCCGCTTTCTCTCCATTTCCTGCTTCCATCATTCCCTTCATCTGTAAACCTTTGATGGTGACTCTTAGCTTCTAATCTTGGGTCCCTCCAGTGATGCTGTTCTTCTTCTTTGCTCCCCATATGTACACACAACCTTCCTACTCTGCCCTGGCCCCTGGGAACTCCTAGTCACATAAACTGTTTCCAGGGGCAATCCCACCTGGATTGACCCAGATTATAAATAGATACCAGAAAAACACCAGTTGTGTGTCTTTATGCCCTATTTAGAGCTGCCCTTTAAACCACATTAACTCTGTTGTGTCAAGCAATGCAACAGGAACCAGACCACCTGGGTATCCCACTATATCTGATAGAAAAGGGACATTCTAGGCCTTTCATTTGGCCATGGATCCAAGCATGGATCAGGCTATGGAAACACAAGACCTTGAAGGTATTTAAAGGAGCAGACTGAAAAAACAAACAAGCCTATTTCTTCATAATTCTCAATGAAAAACATCATGATTTGCAAAGATGCTCTTGATTATTAGTAATGTAAATTGTAGCTTTCTGGCTTCTTTGCTGCAACCTCTGGACCAGTATTGCATTAAAAAAAAAAAAGTACTTTTTTTCTACAGTACCTCCACTTTGTAATCCATGTTAGTGATCATTAAAAGGAGTAAAATGACTCCTGCTCTCAACAATCTATCATATCAGCAAACTGCTTTATCAGGGTTAATGGAGGCTCTGGACCCCCACGGTAAGTTAATATTACCTCAGTGAGGAAGCAATAAGAATAGAAGGGGTAAGAGGCTCACAGAGAGTCAGTGACAGAGCAGACGCTAGAGCCTCAACCATCAGCCACTCTCCATACGAAATTCCTGGAGCTACAGAATCATTTTTTAGATATGTGTCAAGTGGTTGCTTTTCTTAATCTCAGTCTTCATGCTCTGAGTGGAAGATTTGCAACTTCCCTTGCCTATTTATTATAATAGTTCCTCTATACTATTTTGAGAAATCTTCCCCATTCCAGAAATATTCTCTCCCTTGACGATTCTAAAAATCTGATGTACAAATGTGGTTATGGAAATGTGACAAGATTTTTTTCCTTTGTACTAAGAACATAATCTCCAAGACAAGCTCAAACTTAGTATACGACAAAAATACAATATCATTCCCTTTTGATAATTCTTGTTCTTGACATTACACTGTCTCACTAGAGCATATACAGTTTCTGGTACTTTTTATGAACACCCAAATCAGTGTTAGGCATTTTAGATTATAATTTCTTGGCTATAGAGGCAGGAGTTACCTTGTCTAAACAGACTTCCTTGGCATAACAACATGCTAAACTATAATGAACTCCATTTGTCAATGACATAACTTAACAATATTAGACACTGACTTGAATATTGCCAAGAGTTATCATTTTAACACTTCTCCCACTACTGACTTTATTTTTTTAAATGTTTACTTGTGTCAAGCACATTACTATATGTATTTTTTTTTCTTTTTTCAAACTTTATTATTATTCCAGGACCCATCAGCTCCAAGTCAAGTTGTCGTCCTTCAATCTTAGTTGTGGAGGACACAGGCTCAGTTCCAAGTCCAGTTGCCGCTTTCAATCTAGTTCCCACGGAGGTGCGGGCGGGTGCAGTCGAACTGGCAACCTTGTTGTTAAGAGCATGTGCTATAACCAACTGAGTCATCTGGCCGCCCACCCACTATTGACTTTAGAAAGAGCAGGGATCTTTAATTTCTTTAAGGGTTCAGTCCCATGAGGATACTGTGGGAGCAGGTATCCGTGTCCCATTTGATAATGGTGTTAATCATAAGATGAACATTTTGTAGGGTATTGGGTCAGGTTCTAGATTTAGGCCACAGAATTACATAATAATTTTGTACTTTAAAGATGAGATCAAATGATGGAAAAGCACATCCTATAAGAGGAGATAAGTTTTAGTTGTAAGAAATTCTTTCCTTTCTGCAGATGGATACGATGACTCACTGTTGGCAGAAGGGACTCCAAATAGTTCAGGAGGTGTACATGGCACACTTTCAAGTGATGCACGATGTAGGGAGAAGATGACCTCAATAATTTTATTGTAAGAAAAAATGACGTGACTATTGCTGGAACTCTGGATGCGTTTACTATAACTCATGGGAATGACAAGAACAAATTATCTGAGCTGCCTTTGGGAAATGACTTTATGTTGCTAACTTGGGAAATAAAGATGTAGAGAAACACAAAGCCCTGCTTTTTACAATGCGTATGTATGCAAGTTTCTAAAGTCTAGATTAAAAGACAAAAGAAGTCCGTAACCATTGTCTGCACTTATTTCTAGTTTGTCTTCATTTATAATTAACCAGAAAGTGCCTGCACGGTGCCAACAGAGAAGCTGTGGAAAGGACAGCTGTAGATAAGAATGTGGTAATTGTATTTTCATATAATCAACTAAGAGCGTTTGTCTATACAACAGTCATTTCAAAGATTAGGATCTGGACAACAAACATAGAAAACTAATGCTAGAAATGAGTGAACTTCTCCTTGCATATCTTCTATTCTGTAACGGGAAGATTAAGCATGAAAAAGACTGAATACAATAAAGAAAAAAATGTAATACTTGTATAATGCTTGAGGCTCCTAAAGACACATAATTGAATGTATACAAATACACAAGTGTGCATACACGTGTACGCATGCACACACACACACACACACACACACACACACACACACACACACACACTACACAGAGCTGAAAACCAGGATTTTTAGTGATAATGAAGCATCTGGATAAATACACCATGGTCCGAAGAAATAAATTATTTTCTACCTCTGGCTCATGTGGTCTTTATTTTTTATTACAGCAGCAACTTGTATATTTCTGCAGTGTGTTTAAAAGCAATAGAGTCTACATATGATTATGCTTAGAGTTATAGCTAACCAGGAAGGTGCAGATATAAGGCATTTTCTCTTAATGAACAGTTACTTTCGAAGAATACATTTTTTTTGTTTATTTAAAAATGCAGGTGAAGTCAGACAGAAACATCATTAAGATCTGCTAATGAATCATCCTCCTATTTGCACTGGGAATATGTGTTTGAACTCAGTGCTATATCTGTGTTTGAAGAAATACAATTATTGGTTAACAAATGTGTTACATTTAGGTGGTATGGCTCGATGAATGCTAACTACAAGCTGGCATTGGGTCTGTTATGCAAGGAAAATGCAGTACATCAGTGGCAACATTCCATTTTCACCTAAGCAAATACACCTTGATAATGTTATGTTAAATATATTTATCGAGGCAGAGTTCATTTTTTAAAATTTATACTGCTCTTTTTCACTAACATGTTTATTGTAAAAAAATGTAAAAAAAAACAAAGAACAAATAATCATTATCAATGATCCCATCATTCATAATTTTGATGTCTATGTGACCTTTTACTATAATACACAAAGTCATTATATGCACACATGTACCCATAATGGGAGCAGAGGGAGAGGTATACATACATAAAGAAGTATTAGTCTTTAAGTCCTACAATACTGCATTTAATTTCCCCCCCAGTGCATTACCGACAAATATGAATCATAACACACATGTCCATGGTGTTACAGTCCTGAGTATCTCAATGACTGCATTGACGCAGTGTGGGGGTAATAATGTCCACACTAAGGACAGCATCAGGGAAAAACAGAGATGGATAATGGTGAGTTGATTTTAATTGGCTCATGTCCACCTTCCAATGTTCTTCCAATGTTCTCTCTGTGCTTCATTCACCATTTTTCTTGATTCACACTGCTTCTGACATCTCATCCCTTTTGTAAAGAATGTTTTAACCATGTATAAAAAAGTGTAGTGTGTTTCTCTTTTATTTTTCCATATCTAAATAGGAACTTTCCCAACTTCACTTATCCCCTAATTATCTGCCAGTTTTCAGTACAGATTATGTTTCATCTGCCTCTTCTAAACCTAGCATAATACCTGACACATAGTAAGTGCTCAGAAAGTGTTGAATTTGCTAAATTGTATGCTAAGGCCTGCATTATTAAGAACTTTATTTAATTAACGCTACATACTCTGTTTTTTCAGATGTTCTCATGTTATTTATATCATTCCATGGGTCAATAGCTACTGAACTCAACAGAGAGATGATACCATTGGGTTAGCTGGAAATCCTTGGCACAGTCTGTTGAATAAAAAGACATATACCTCCTAAAAACAAATCCCTCAAAACCAAAATGTTTTTAGGGAATTAAAGCCATAAAAGAACACAGACCTCACTCATGTCAAGGACCAGTGGACTAAATACAAAAGGGAGTTGGGTCTAAGTCTTATCATTCTTTGACTTAAATGTCTCATCTATCTTGCTCTTGACCAGCCAGAGTCTAGACGGGCAGAAAAGAGAACAAAAATCTCAATATAATAATATAATTCCTTTGCCTTGTCATTATGGATTTTCTGAAGAACACCTACATCTACTTGAACGTGTTCTAGTTTAAAGACCCTCACATAATGCTACTGCAAAGAAATGAGGCTCCAGGTTCACTGCCCAGGAAAAACACCTCACTCAGATTACATATGCTGAAAAGAAGAGTAAGTCCTAGAAACAATTGATAATTCAATTAAATATATTATATTTATATATATGGAGAAATATTGCAGGTGGGTTTAAGGAGTTTTATGGCTTGCGTGCATTTTTTTCTCCTGTTTCTTTCATTGTTCTGCTAAAGGGTCATCCGGAGGCTTAAAACTGCAAATCCGGCAGCACACATGCATCTTCCTAGCAGTGCACAATGTGCGCCCAATGGAGTCAAAGATTGATTTATTAAAGAGACCAGGCTGCCGCTTCCGCTTCCTCAAAAGCAGCAAATTAAACCCAAATAAGGGGTCCATCACCCATCCAGAGGAAATTCCCCTATGTCGCTAGCTCAGGAAAACTTGTCCAAGGGTTAAAAGATCCTGAAAGAGACATTTATATAAAGACAACAAAATCAGGCTTCTGCAGAAAGAAGGGGTGGAGAGGTGGGCAGTTTACAGTGTGTCTGTGTGAATTCTCAAAATGCCAGAAGTGGGAGGCATTGAACACAGCTAACGGATATTGCAACTCCCCTGTCCAAAAGTCACTCTCTTGATTGCTTGGATTCTTACAGTGCTCAAAACACGTCTGTGGGATGAAGAGAAAAAGACCTTTAGAGTCCCTAGATGTTATATTTCTATCAGCAATTTTGAAAAGAATCAGTCCATGAATGTCACTAGTTACTGCTAAGTCTCGCTGTTTGATACGTGTCCAATGGCAATGCAAATTCCAGGCATAAAATACCTGACTCTTTCATGATTTCACCTCACTGAGATTCAATGCACTGAACAGAAGTGTGGACATGTAAGAAATTAGTGAGAATTTACTTAAAATTTTTTTTTGATGAAATGTTGCACGCGGGTTCAAGGAATCTTCTGGTGTACATGCATTTTTACTGCCTGGTACAAACGGGATTAACTGTAACTCTTTAAGATGATCAGAGAAGAACTTACACAATTAAGGGAGAAAATGCTGAGCCTTCTTGAAATAGAATCGGAGATCCTTTTTATCAATGAGGGCAGAATAGGCTCATAACCTGAGTGAGGGTCATAGCAGGATCGTTCTTAGTGTCACTTAGTTATTTTTCAGTCTGATATAATTAGCCCGGAGGTCTTTAAAAATGCTCAAAATGGTGCTAAGGTTGTGGACCCAAGAACTGAGTGTGATGAGAAACTTTCCACTCTGAGGTCTACAATTAACTTTCCCTCTCAAGGTCTTATAAATATCTGGGGGGATGAAGGGGAAGGAAGATAATTGAATCATCATAAATCAATGTGAGTACAGTGAAGACAAACTTCCTGGTCCTCTGTCGATGGATTACTGACATCAATGGTGTTAATGAGAAATAAATGTTTTCTTTAAAGGCTCAAAATCAAGGCCATGGACATGTCTGCGATAGGCCCAGGGGAAACCCATTCCTTCATTCTCTGTTAATCACTTACCGTATTTGCCGGCGTATAAGACGACTGGGCGTATAAGACGACCCCCTAACATTTCCACTCAAAATACAGAGTTTGTTATATACTCGCCGTATAAGACTACCCCCTCTTCCGCACACCTTCCACACACCAAATAAAAGGTAAAACAATATCAGATTTGATTTGGCCCACTGAAGTGCAAACAAGCGTATTGTATTTCGTGTCACCACATAACCGTTTTGGCGATGTTGAGCCACCATGTCTGCTACATGTTTTTCGAGTTCTGGCCAGTGTGGGGTGCCTCTTCTTAATGCACACTTACCCCTTGGCATACTCTTTAATGCTTTCTCATTTGATTTCCAGTCCCGAACCATCTTTTCTGTTACTCCATATTGTCTTGCAGTAGCACAATTATTATTTTCCTTAGCAAAGTTTATAACTTTCAGTTTAAAATTTGCATCATACTTCTTTCTTTTGGCTGGTGCCATGATAGGGATGATAGGGGTTTGACTGGTCGACATTTTCTATGCTGTACTGTACAATGGTGCAGTATTGTGGTTGGCTGTTGGCTGTATACAAAGCCTGATTTGATTGGTCCCTGCTCCCTGTTTGCCCGCCCTGTCACTGTAGCAGTCTGGTCCACCCTTGCATCAGCATCTCCCTGGGACCTCACTAGTGCGCAAGTGCGAGCTCTTCAACATTCTAACAGGCACCATGATAGCGCAAAATCGCGAATCTTCAATGCATACCATATGTAAAGAAATATACGGTAACCCAAATTTACCACACTCGCAAAATCGCACACAGCCGACCATACACCCAGTATGGTATCGCGATTCGCGATTTTGCGCTATCATACTGGGTGTATGGTCAGCTGTGTGTGATTTTGCGAGTGTGGTAAAATCGCATAACAGCAAAATCGCATAACAGCCGAGCATACACCCAGCAGCGCTGCTGATGCCTGAACGGTATGTGGAATGAAGTGGGCGGGCATCGGGAGGCCACTATGGCACGGGGCAAGCACTATGGGCAGTCTATCTGAAGTGTACCTGGCGTATAAGACGACCCCCCACTTGGAGGCATATTTTTCAGGGCCAAAAAATCGTCTTATACGCCGGCAAATACGGTATATCTCAATCCTTTCTATTCTTACAAAAAAGTGTCAGGAGATCAAAAACCCTGACTCTTATACAAGCGTCAGTTTCAACCCAGACGAGCATAGATTTTTGACTACTTGTTAGCAATTACAAATGCCCATGACACACTACAATTTCTAATTTTGTAAAGGGGCATATATGAAGTTTACATAGTGA